CGTCGATCCACCTTGGTCGAGCTCGCGCCGGCTGAGCTGGTCCCCAGAGGTCAGGAAGGCGTGGAAAAAGCGCTCCGAAAACAGCACGTTGAGCAAGCGAAACATGCAATTCTTCGTTCGCTTCTCCTCCTCCTGTTGCCCGCGCCTCGCGTCACTCCTTTGCTGCTGCACACGCTTCCGGATGGCCTTCTTGTTGTTGTCGTACGCGTTCAGCAGCGCAATCCTGCCCTCCTTGTTCGTGTTCTTCACTACGTTAAGCTTACGCGCCGTGCACTCGAGCTTGAGCTGGGGTAGCGACCAGTTTTCGTACGCCTCCGAGGTTGGCACGGGCACGGGCGTCTTGCGTCGGCTCAACAGCGCCGCGCTCACTGTCCATGTTGCTGGCGCCGCCATGGCCAGGGAGAATTTCCGCTGGGAGCTGAACGAGCGCGCGAAAAGAAGCTTGCAACAGGAGCTCGGAAACTTTAAAGGAAACTGTAGCCAAGTGGCGAGACCTGGTCAGATCGCGATCCGGTTCGGAACGGCCAAAAGCACTTCCCCAGGACATCACCTAACCTCCCCTTTTCCTCGCGCCCCGCGCCCCGATCCGATCCCGGTTCGGAACGGCCCTAACGGTATGTGGAGTAAGGAGCAGGTACAACAAGTGGTAAACTCCACGGGTGCCTTCACGACTACGGACAAGGTTTCAGCTCGCAGGAAGAGCAGCGTCGTGAAGGCGGCGATCCCGTCCGGTTACACGCCGATGTTCGTCATGGTCGTGAAAGACGAGCTGTATAAAAAAGGATGCACGTGGTGTTCATACGCGATCTGGACAAGGTGATCTATCCCCGAAAACTGGACGGCCAGAAGCTGCGGGATCCCGTCCATTAAGGACGCTAGTGAGATCGAGATGAGGGGGGGGGGGGGTAAATGGTAACACTGAGAAGACCTTGTTTTGAACGCGCTATTTGTGGCATTAAAACCAGCCGAGATGACGAATATAAGTAAATTTTGGATGATGAAAAAGAAAACGTGTAGCTAATGAATGAAGTGCCTTCCAGCAACCTGGTCGTGGCAAAATTGCCGGTGCAAGCGGTCACACAAGATACTGCTTCGATCTACTTGCGACTAGCATTGTGAGTTGTGCACCGCCTTCAAGTACAGCTACTCAAACAAGATGATCAAAGGCGATGTTAGCGCAGACGTCGAAATGGCTGTGGGCTCACAAAGTGCCAAACTATACAAAGGGACAGGGTCAGTGCCTGCTAAATAATAACTTTGATGGCAAGATTAACATACCTTTTTGCGTTGCTGCTGGATTCGATGTCTTTGACAGCTCTGCCAAAGTAAATGTTTTACCTCGCAGCCTTGGAAACGTTTATTTCCTGTGGAAATAGTCTGTCATTGTGCTTCGGGAATGCACGTCGATCTGCCTCAGGGATCGGCTCTGAAGATTGAGATTTAATTTTTTCCAGAACTGCGGCAAAGCGTCTCTCTTCAGCAGCGGCGGCAGCAGCGGCAGATTGGGGAGAGCTCGTGTTATCTGGCTCGATAGCAAGAGTAACTGGTGCATCGTCGTCGCCCTCCAACTCGCAGAGTACGGACTGCCAGTACTCAAATGCAGTGTCTGGCCCGACAACGCTTTCTTCTTCGGTGTCATCTTCGGTTTCATTGCACTCAAAAACATCGTCTCTGTCTCTTAGCCGGGTGCGCTCTGTAGGATCAATCAATCGTGTAGTGTTGGCGACCTTGGAGGGACCGACTTCAGTATCAAATTCTCGCACTTGCTTACGAACCAAAGCCAGTTTCCTTGCCTTCTCAGGTGACATCCTGTTCCTCTTCGCAATATGGATCAAAGCCAATTCGCTGAAATAACGCTCCCAAGTAGGCGTATTAACAGCGATAGACAACAAAGCGAGCGCAAAAGCCAGCAACTTGCTTTTCGGCATTTCCGATCGCATACAAATCCAGTAGGCGTGAAATGAACTGAAGTCGGTGAATGAAAGCGATGTGACGTCGTCATCGACGATCCAGTTGTGTAGATCTTCATACAACCTCGACGTGTCCAACCCAATTCCAAACCGCTTGAAGTAGTAGATCCCACGCGGCACAAAGAGCCAGCTGAAGTCAGCGGTGTCTTGCCTAGGAGCCTTTTAGCAGCTTGTCTGTGTGCAGTAAATAGAGAGCTAACAGCATTAGCGGTTGCTCACATTGAAGCCATCGTTTCTCCACTTCGCGAATAAGATTCCTGCTACCGTACGGATGCTTGTGAAATCCAGCAAAGATATCGAGATAGCAGACGACAACATCGGCCATGGTATTTTCATCACGCTGTAGTTTCAGGGACGCGTAGGAGAGAGGGCGCACGACTTCTTCAGAATCTTTAAGTGAGTTCCAAAACTTTTAATCAGCAAAAAACCGTAACGTAGCGGGAAAATCTGCGGAAACTCTAAACTTCACCTCCAATAACTCCAGAGCACTGCGAATTCGTAGAAGCGATGCAAAGCAGCCATGCATGCTGTTCCATCGTGTTTCACATAGCTGCTTCACGTTCAGTTTATACCCGTAAGTTTCTTCCATACACGCATTGGCTTCCACTAGCCACTTGGCCGACGAAGCATTTAGGGCGTTGACAGCATCGGAGGCCTTCTTGATAACTTCCGCATAGTCCGACTTGAGTACAGATTTAACCAAGTTATGCAGGTCATGTGCAAAACAGATGACAAAAGCGATAGTAGGCCACCTGAGGCTCAAAATCCGTCTCGCCCGGCCGCACTGACCCGCATTATCGGTGACCACTGCTCCAATTTTCCAGCCTTTCTTCTGCATGTCAACCATCAGTCCCTCCATTTGCTCAGCAATCGCTACACCATCATGACGAGAACCGCTAGCAAAGAGACCATAGATTAGTACGAAGCCAAACAACGCTAGCTGACAGCCGAGTAAATGTGCTCGTGCGATATTCTGCCATACATCCGAGAGGACGTTTACTCGTCCACCGGTTTGTCTTGCGTTTGTTTCAAGGTAGAACTCTCGAGGTTTTCACAAGCCAAAGCATATTTATCGAGAATTGGGCCACCCAGTGGCTTTCGTCAAGGACGTGAATCAATGCTCCCTGTCATAGTATTGGCATGATGAAGAAGGCGAGCAATTGACGGGCGCTCAATAAAGCTATCGGGGATATTGGTATCGTCTTGAAACTGGAGAATTAAGCGCTCCAAAACTTTAGTCTCATCGTCTTCCGAAATTCCAGCGTAAAATTCGTCAATTCTTCGTTGCCGTTTTGCAGTTGGTTGCTGCTGAGTATCAACACCATCCGATGGCAGTCGCTGGGCCATAAAGCCGCTGCTAGCATCATAGGTACCAATATTGGCCGGATTTGAAGGTGTCACGGTAGTGCTGTTAGCTCGAACGTAGGAAATGAACGCTTGGCAACTTTTCAAATGGCTCCTGAAGTTCTCGACCCTACCCTTAATTCGATTCGGTTCCGGAGTGTTGTAGGTGCCATTTGGTTGTCTTGAATCTTTATAGGCTCGATCGGAATGCTTACAAACGTGCCAGGTTCGGCCGTTTCCGCAGTCGATCCTCACGTTGATGAACTCCAGCCGCTCA